TCCTTATCTTCTCATCCACCCTCTCTTCAAGTTGCTAAATGTTCCTTATCTTCTCATCCACCCTCTCTTCAAGGTGCTAACTGTTCCTTATCTTCTCATCCACCCTCTCTTCAAGGTGCTAACTGTTCCTTATCTTCTCATCCACCCTCTCTTCAAGTTGCTAAATGTTCCTTATCTTCTCATCCACCCTCTCTTCAAGGTGCTAAATGTTCTTTATCTTCTCATCCACCCTCTCTTCAAGGTGCTAAATGTTCCTTATTTTCTCAGCAACCCTCTCTTCAAGGTGCTAAATATTCCTTATTTTCTAATCCACCCTCTCTTCAAGATGCTAAATGTTCTGTATCTTCTCAGCCACCCTCTCTTCAAGTTGCTAAATGTTCCTTATCTTCTCAGCCACCCTCTCTTCAACATATTAAATGTTCCTGATCTTCTCAGCCACCCTGTCTTCAAGGTGCTAAATGTTCTTTATCTTCTCAACCACCCTCTCTTCAAGGTACTAAATGTTTCTGATCTTTTCAGTCACCCTCTCTTCAGGGTTGCTAAATGTTCCTTATCTTCTCAGCCACCCTCTCTTCAAGATGCTAAATAGTCTGTATCTTCTCAGCAACCCTCTCTTCAAGTTGCTAAATGTTCCTTATCTTCTCATCCACCCTCTCTTCAAGTTGCTAAATGTTCCTTATCTTCTCATCCACCCTCTCTTCAAGTTGCTAAATGTTCCTTATTTTCTCATCCACCCTCTCTTCAAGTTGCTAAATGTTCCTTATTTTCTCATCCACCCTCTCTTCAAGGTGCTAAATGTTCCTTATTTTCTCAGCAACCCTCTCTTCAAGTTGCTAAATGTTTCTTATCTTCTAATCCACCCTCTCTTCAAGGTGCTAAATGTTCCTTGTCTTCTCAGCAACCCTCTCTTCAAGGTGCTAAATGTTCCTTATCTTCTCATCCACCCTCTCTTCAAGTTGCTAAATGTTCCTTATCTTCTCATCCACCCTCTCTTCAAGGTGCTAACTGTTTCTTATCTTCTCATCCACCCTCTCTTCGTTGCTAAATGTTCCTTATCTTCTCATCCACCCTCTCTTCAAGGTGCTAAATGTTCCTTATCTTCTCATCCACCCTCTCTTCAAGGTGCTAAATGTTCCTTATCTTCTCATCCACCCTCTCTTCAAGTTGCTAAATGTTCCTTATCTTCTCATCCACCCTCTCTTCAAGGTGCTAACTGTTCCTTATCTTCTCATCCACCCTCTCTTCAAGGTGCTAACTGTTCCTTATCTTCTCATCCACCCTCTCTTCAAGTTGCTAAATGTTCCTTATCTTCTCATCCACCCTCTCTTCAAGGTGCTAAATGTTCTTTATCTTCTCATCCACCCTCTCTTCAAGGTGCTAAATGTTCCTTATTTTCTCAGCAACCCTCTCTTCAAGGTGCTAAATATTCCTTATTTTCTAATCCACCCTCTCTTCAAGATGCTAAATGTTCTGTATCTTCTCAGCCACCCTCTCTTCAAGTTGCTAAATGTTCCTTATCTTCTCAGCCACCCTCTCTTCAACATATTAAATGTTCCTGATCTTCTCAGCCACCCTGTCTTCAAGGTGCTAAATGTTCTTTATCTTCTCAACCACCCTCTCTTCAAGGTACTAAATGTTTCTGATCTTTTCAGTCACCCTCTCTTCAGGGTTGCTAAATGTTCCTTATCTTCTCAGCCACCCTCTCTTCAAGATGCTAAATAGTCTGTATCTTCTCAGCCACCCTCTCTTCAAGTTGCTAAATGTTCCTTATCTTCTCATCCACCCTCTCTTCAAGGTGCTAAATGTTCCTTATCTTCTCATCCACCCTCTCTTCAAGGTGCTAAATGTTCCTTATTTTCTAATCCACCCTCTCTCCAAGATGCTAAATGTTCTGTATCTTCTCAGCCACCCTCTCTTCAAGTTGCTAAATGTTCCTTATCTTCTCAGCCACCCCCTCTTCAACATATTAAATGTTCCTGATCTTCTCAGCCACCCTCTCTTCAAGATGCTAAATAGTCTGTATCTTCTCAGCCACCCTCTCTTCAAGTTGCTAAATGTTCCTTATCTTCTCATCCACCCTCTCTTCAAGGTGCTAAATGTTCCTTATCTTCTCATCCACCCTCTCTTCAAGTTGCTAAATGTTCCTTATCTTCTCATCCACCCTCTCTTCAACATATTAAATGTTCCTGATCTTCTCAGCCACCCTGTCTTCAAGGTGCTAAATGTTCTTTATCTTCTCAGTGTACACACAAAATGTTTTTAATGTATCCCCAAAGAAAAAAGGTACGGCTGTGTTAGATCTGGGCCAGGGTATTGGTCCATGCCCTCCAACTGAGACTTTGGGAACCATTCATTTAAGACCTCACAAACAATGTGACTGAAAGGAGGAGAATCTATGTCATGCATGAAAGTAACACTACTCCCCACTTGTTGCTCCCAGTCTTCAAATTGTGAGGAGACACGTACTGCTGAAACATGTCAAGGTACTCATGCACCTAATAATGGTGTTTTGATTCAAGAAGAAGGGAGCAACAATGTGATCACACAGCACTCGCACCAGAAATTCGCTATAGATGCCCGGAAAATGCATTCAGGAATCTTCCTCGGTAACTGTGAACTCTAAATGTAAGAAAGTTAAATTGTCATCAATGCTGCAGTAAGCAGGAGCATTGGAACAGAACATTCAGAATGGTTGTTTTTGGAATTCCTAATGCTCAACTTCTACAAACAATTAATTTCTTTGGGCTTCAAATGCAGGATTGTCTTATGCATTCCTCATCCTCCTCAGATGTTCTTGGTCAGCCAGAAGATTTTCTGTTCTCAACACTCCAGTTTCTCTGACATGTTTCAGCTGCTGATTTTAAGGCAGGGTTTTCTCGTGAACACAAATGTTTCAGCTGCTGATTCTAAGGCAGGGTTTTCTCGTGAACACAAATGTTTCAGCTGCTGATTCTAAGGCAGGGTTTTCTCGTGAACACTAATGTTTCAGCTGCTGATTCTAAGGCAGGGTTTTCTCGTGAACACAAATGTCGTCACTTACATTGCACTGAAATAATTATTTAAGTTCAGCGTGCCATAACACAATCTCAGCCTTGTGTTGAACAGTCCACTCCTGCTACACAGCAGCTCACACTAGAGTGCAGTGAACAAAGAAGTCTCACAGCCTTACTCTGGTTCCCACGCATGCCCTGTTTTAAGCCTCACAGTCAGACAAAACTTAAAAACTTGAATAAACATTTTAGGGCGCCACATGTATATCCACTAAATACCTTTTTTATAACAACAGTTTACATTCCCAACAATCATTCTCAGTGCTCAGTGACCCTGTATAAAGCATACATCAGTGTTACATCAGTGTTACATCAGTGTTACATCAGTGTTACATCAGTGTTACATCAGTGTTACATCAGTGTTACATCAGTGTTACATCAGTGTTACATCAGTGTTACATCAGTGTTACATCAGGCATAGGGAGCTAAGCGTGTGCACATTTGTGTGAGAGTGAGATTAAGCTAAAATGGTATAGGAAGACAGACTAAGTCAGGATAACATCTGAAACACTGAAATAAAATGACATGTGAAATAAAGCAATTATACTTAAATAAGAATAAATCAATAAGTCAATATAAGTTATTGCGAAAGTTAAAAATCCCTTGAGTCTCTACTGTTCAAACTTGTTTCTGACTGCAAGTGGAGAACCCTGTTATTTCTAGAAATCTGGCCAAGGCTGGGTTTAAATCCCAGCAAATGGCCAGATGAGACAAAGTCAAATGTACACAGGAAGTTGTTTTCCCCACAGAAACTGGAGAATGTTGCTGCGTACAATTGACTTCCAACATAGCCTCAGACAAAAATGTCAGTTACCTATTTAAAACCTGAACAAATCTGGAGAAAAGCAAAGAGGGAACTCTTTCCAGGATCCACCCAGTGCTTATACAAGTACTGAGACTTGGCATGTAATATACATCTGTTTCATTGTATCTTATACACTTTGACTTAATCAGTATGCCCTGGTATAGCAGTGTTAGTGTTGTTTTGTCTATGTTGTCTGTGTGTTGTGTGTGCTGACATCAACAAGGAAGACCTGACTTAGAGAGACTAATCACCTTTGATAGCCTTGGTGTAGCTGTATTAGTATTTTTGTGTGTGTACAGGTTGTATGTGTGTGTTGTATGTGTGTGTTGTATGTGTGTATTGTATGTGTGTGTTGTATGTGTGTGTTGTATGTGTGTGTTGTATGTGTGTGTTGTATGTGTGTGTTGTATGTGTGTGTTGTATGTGTGTATTGTATGTGTGTGTTGTATGTGTGTGTTGTATGTGTGTGTTGTATGTGTGTGTTGTATGTGTGTGTTGTATGTGTGTATTGTATGTGTGTATTGACATCAAGGATGATATAACAGACTTACTGGTCTAGCTGTCTTAGTGTTGATTTTGTATGTGTTGTATGTGTGTGTTGTATGTGTGTGTTGTATGTGTGTGTTGTATGTGTGTGTTGTATGTGTGTGTTGTATGTGTGTGTTGTATGTGTGTGTTGTATGTGTGTGTTGTAAGTGTGTGTTGTATGTGTGTGTTGTATGTGTGTGTTGTATGTGTGTGTTGTATGTGTGTGTTGTATGTGTGTGTGTTGTATGTGTGTGTGTTGTATGTGTGTGTTGTATGTGTGTGTGTTGTATGTGTGTGTGTTGTATGTGTGTGTTGACATCAAGGACGATACAACAGACTGATCAACCATGACAGCCTTGGTCTAGCTGTGTTAGTGTTGATTTTGTATGTGTTGTATGTGTGTGTTGTATGTGTGTGTTGTATGTGTGTGTGTTGTATGTGTGTGTGTTGACATCAAGGACGATACAACAGACTGATCAACCATGACAGCCTTGGTCTAGCTGTGTTAGTGTTGTTTTTGTATGTGTGTGTTGTATGTGTGTGTTGTATGTGTGTGTTGTATGTGTGTGTGTTGTAAGTGTGTGTTGACATCAAAGACAATACCACAGACTGATCACCTATGATGGCCTTGCTTCCTTGGGAACTATGATTTTTGAAAACACTGGAGCAGCCGACAAGCACCAGACCCAGCATGGTGACTACCATACCCAACCAGTGGATGTATTTCAGTTTCCGTTTGAGAAATACTCGCTGCCAGACAAAACAGTAAAGTAGGAAAACATGTTTGAGATATACTCGCTGTCAGACAAAACATGAAAGTAGGAAAACATGTTTGAGATATACTCGCTATCGGACAAAACATGAAAGTAGGAAAACATGTTTGAGAATGTGAGAAAATCAGAACATATGTTAGATGAAACAAACATGTCAGGTCTTGTCACTGGGTGGGAAGTAGATCTAACAATTATTCTGTTAATACACATATCTATTAATGGACATACTTTACCAAAACAAATGTCAACAGATATGCCTTGTTGATTCAAATGTCATTTCATTAGATCTGCCTTGTTAACACAAATGTTTCACCAACAGTCAAGCTCTTTGATACAAATGTCAAGTCAATAGATGTACGTTGTAAATACAAATGTCCCATCAGCAGTCAAGCCCTGTCGATACAAATGTCCCATCAACAGTCAAGCCCTGTTGATACAAATGTCCCATCAACAGTCAAGCCCTGTCGATACAAATGTCTCATCAACAGTCAAGCCCTGTTGATACAAATGTCCCATAAACAGTCAAGCCCTGCTAATACAAATGTCCCATCAAAAAACATCATATGACAGACAGGAATAAAAAGTTGTGATAGACTACATCTCTGCTCTAAAACAGCCATCTGGATCAGGTGCTTTGTTCTTAGCGTTCTTCTCTACAACAGCTTTTACTTCTGATGTTAACAAGGTTCATGTTTCTGATTGCCACCTGTGAAAGTTAGGGAGAAAAGTAGAGATCTGAGGGGATTCTTCTCACAGTTAGGGAGAAAAGTAGAGATTTGAGGGGATTCTACTCACAGTTAGGGAGAAAAGTAGAGATTTGAGGGGATTCTACTCACAGTTAGGGAAGATAAGTAGAGATTTGAGTGGATTCTACTCACAGTTAGGGAGAAAAGTAGAGATTTGAGGGGATTCTACTCACAGTTAGGAAGAAAAGTAGAGATTTGAGTGGATTCTACTCACAGTTAGGGAGATAAGTAGAGATTTGAGTGGATTCTACTCACAGTTAGGGAAGATAGGTAGAGATTTGAGTGGATTCTACTCACAGTTAGGTGAGATTAGAGATTTGAGTGGATTCTACTCACAGTTAGGGAGATAAGTAGAGATTTGAGTGGATTCTACTCACAGTTAGGGAAGAAAAGTAGAGATTTGAGTGGATTCTACTCACAGTTAGGGAGAAAAGTAGAGATTTGAGTGGATTCTACTCACAGTTAGGGAGAAAAGTAGAGATTTGAGTGGATTCTTCTCACAGTTAGGGAGAAAAGTAGAGATGTGAGGGGATTCTACTCACAGTTAGGGAAGATAAGCAGAGATTTGAGTGGATTCTACTCACAGTTAGGGAGAAAAGTAGAGATTTGAGTGGATTTTACTCACAGTTAGGGAAGATAAGTAGAGATTTGAGGGGATTCTACTCACAGTTAGGGAGAAAAGTGGAGATTTGAGTGGATTCTACTCACAGTTAGGGAGAAAAGTAGAGATTTGAGTGGATTCTACTCACAGTTAGGGAGATAAGTAGAGATTTGAGTGGATTCTACTCACAGTTAGGGAGAAAAGTAGAGATTTGAGTGGATTCTACTCACAGAGGGAGAAAAGTAGAGATTTGAGTGGATTCTACTCACAGTTAGGGAGAAAAGTAGAGATTTGAGTGGATTCTACTCACAGTTAGGGAAGATAAGTAGAGATTTGAGTGGATTCTACTCACAGTTAGGGAGAAAAGTAGAGATTTGAGTGGATTCTACTCACAGTTAGGGAGAAAAGGAGATTTGAGGGGATTCTACTCACAGTTAGGGAGAAAAGTAGAGATTTGAGTGGATTCTACTCACAGTTAGGGAGAAAAGTAGAGATTTGAGTGGATTCTACTCACAGTTAGGGAGAAAAGTAGAGATTTGAGGGGATTCTACTCACAGTTAGGGAGAAGAGTAGAGATTTGAGGGGATTCTACTCACAGTTAGGGAAGATAAGTAGAGATTTGAGGGGATTCTACTCACAGTTAGGGAGAAAAGTAGAGATTTGAGGGGATTCTACTCACAGTTAGGGAGAAAAGTAGAGATTTGAGTGGATTCTACTCACAGTTAGGGAAAATAAGTAGAGATTTGAGTGGATTCTACTCACAGTTAGGGAGAAAAGTAGAGATTTGAGTGGATTCTACTCACAGTTAGGGAGAAAAGTAGAGATTTGAGTGGATTCTACTCACAGTTAGGGAGAAAAGTAGAGATTTGAGGGGATTCTACTCACAGTTAGGGGAGATAAGTAGAGATTTGAGGGGATTCTACTCACAGTTAGGGAGAAAAGTAGAGATTTGAGTGGATTCTACTCACAGACAAGATCCCAGCAAAGATGATGATTGCTCCACGTAACATTTGCCAAACAGACGCATCGATGTAGATGAGACCAATCCCTGGCGACATTTGCAACATTACATTAGCATCACTTTCTGCCAGTTTTTTTAATATTCAGCTTCTAAATGTGTATTTCTAATAGAATCTAAAATATCATTATGTTCTTTAAAACAAGTGTCTGCTTTCAAAGTCTGAGATTGCACTTTTCTCCTCTGCCATCCTCTATCTCTTTTGCTGGCTTTTGCAGTGTGTCCCAGCTGTCTTCTTCTTAGAACCAGCAAACAATGTTGCTTTTTGTCACAAGCAATCTTTGTGTGAAATGTTTCAGTCATGCCCAGAACATCTGTCACACTCTCAGCCAAAGCCAGCATTTCTTTGCTGCTAAATCTGGCCACAAAACCAGAAACTTTAAGTAGTGGTCATTTCAACAACAATATTCTGTTCAATCCCTTTTTTTCCATTTCAAAAATGGATAATTATGGTTATCAACTATTTTGGGTATTTAATAGGGCCTATCTTATGTATTACTTCCAACAAATTGTAGGAGTACAGATTGTTTTGGTTAATATATTATGAGTGTATTTTTAACCAGTTATAATAATCACACTGTGTGACTAACTTTTTTTAATGTTCAAAGTGAGAGACACCCATTATTCTGCCTGAAGAAATATTGACATCTCATACCCTAGCCTTTGCTTATTTGATACACTGCTTAATTGTTCTCTGTAGTTCTCTAAAACCATCTATTCCCAGCATGTTTTCTAGAGTCACAGCCTGAAACTTGTTATGTGACTTGGTGTGTTGGAGTAATTCTGTGACTTGGTGTGTTAAAGTACTTCTGTGACTTTGTGTGTTAGAGTACTTCTGTGACTTGGTGTGTTGGAGTACTTCTGTGACTTGGTGTGTTAGAGTGCTTCTGTGACTTGGTGTGTTGGAGTACTTCTGTGACTTGGTGTGTTGGAGTACTTCTGTGACTTGGTGTGTTGGAGTACTTCTGTGACTTGGTGTGTTGGAGTGCTTCTGTGACTTGGTGTCTTGGAGTACTTCTGTGATTTGGTGTGTTGGAGTACTTCTGTGACTTGGTGTGTTGGAGTACTTCTGTGACTTGGTGTGTTGGAGTACTTCTGTGACTTGGTGTGTTGGAGTGCTTCTGTGACTTGGTGTCTTGGAGTACTTCTGTGACTTGGTGTGTTGGAGTACTTCTGTGACTTGGTGTGTTGGAGTACTTCTGTGACTTGGTGTGTTGCAGTGCTTCTGTGACTAAGTGTGTTGGAGTACTTCTGTGACTTGGTGTGTTAAAGTACTTCTGTGACTTGGTGTGTTAGAGTGCTTCTGTTACTTGGTGTGTTGGAGTACTTCTGTGACTTGGTGTGTTAGAGTGCTTCTGTGACTTGGTGTGTTGGAGTGCTTCTGTAACTTGGTGTATTGGAGTGCTTCTGTGACTTGGTGTGTTAGAGTGCTTCTGTGACTTGGTGTGTTAGAGTGCTTCTGTGACTTGGTGTGTTGGAGTGCTTCTGTGACTTGGTGTGTTGGAGTACTTCTGTGACTTGGTGTGTTGGAGTGCTTCTGTGACTTGGTGTGTTGGAGTGCTTCTGTAACTTGGTGTGTTGGAGTGCTTCTGTAACTTGGTGTGTTGGAGTGCTTCTGTGACTTGGTGTTGCTCCAGTACCAGCAGTAAGAAAAGCTGACCTTCTAGAGGCCAACAGTGAAAATACAATACACTCTAACAGTATTAACAGAGGTAGAGTGTTGCCAGATTTTACAGAAACCAAGTAGAAAAATTAAATGACAGTACCGGCCAGCGACGTCCCCAGAAGGTCACAGAATGTCGGCACCAGCAAGATCCACTGCCAGACTCTGTGAAAGTCCATCAATCATCAATATATGAGATGAAAACAATAGATTGTTTACTGAGCAACAGAAAATCAATTGCCAGTAAAATATTTCAAATTTGTAGATTAAACCATGTGCCCTGGAGATAATGGACAATGTTAATGAAGGCGAGGCACAGTGTGTTTCCTGTGCTGGCATTATCTTTCTGAGTTATTGGCACATTGTTCCTGAGTTAATAGCACCATGTTCTTCAATTAATGGCACCATGTTCTTGAGTTAATGGCACCATGTTCTTCAATTAATGGCACCATGTTCTTCAATTAATGGCACCATATTCTTTTATTATTGTCACCATGTTCTTCAATTAATGGCACTACCTTCCTCAGTTAATGGTACCATGTTCTTGAATTAATGGGTGGTAAAATGCATGCACACACCAGCGCATGCATGCACACACCAGCGCATGCATGCATGCACACACCCACCTACTCACTTGAACAGGCATATATACACATCCACATACCCCACATACCCCACATACATACACACACACACACCCACATACATACATACAGATATACACATGCACACATAGCCACACCCACAGAAACACCCACAGAAACACGCACACAAACCCGCAGACACACACATGCAGACACATACAGACACACACATGCAAACACATACACACACACACACAGACACACAGGCACACACAAAAAACATACACACACCCAGACTCAACCCACAGGCACACAAACACACACACCATAGATACACATGCAGATACACATGCAGACATGTAGTAAAAACGATGATGACAGTTATCTTGAAAGAGAAGGTAAAACAGTGACACAATTTGCTGTTGACCAGTGACTGGCCTAATGACTACAAACAGTAACATGTAGAAAAATAGCCCACATTGGAGTGGTTACCTGGGACGTGTAAGTGGACCTGGTGGTTCATGTCCGACTTTAGCTGCCCAAGCAATCTAGGAAACAAAGAAGAAACAACGATCACTTCAGTGTATCGCTCACGACTAATGGTGTATGTTAAGTGGCCCAGCGGTTAGGGCATCCATGTCTGGCTGTAGCAGACCTGGCTTATTTTAGTTTAAACAGTGTGGATTCAAAGTAAAAAAGTTAAGGTCCTTTTACACGCCAGTGGCACATCGGGCATATAAGGCTAGACTCACATGGCTGAGCGATGTGCCGACTTTTGTCTTCTGAGTTGAACTTGTTCTCAAGTCATCTTTGTAGCTGTCCATGGTGCTTTCATCATTCTTTCATGGTGCTTTCATCATCAAAAATGAGAACAGAAGAAAGAAAGAAGTGAAAATGTGGAAGGAAGGAAATGTGGCAAAAATGAATTATGGAAGGAAGGAAAGAAGAATATGAAAGAAAACAGAAAAGAATAAAGATAGGAAGGAAACAACAAGAATTCTTAATAAGTAGGGACTATATGTCATAGGATGGACAGATGAGGAGTTTTAAAAGAAATAAAGAAAGAGTCAAGGAAGAGGTAGTTGTTAAACAGAAAAGAAGGTAAAAGGAAGAATCTATATCTCTAGAAAATGTATCAAACAATACCTACCACTTTCTCTCGCTCTTTATTTTCCGAGCGGCGTGCAAAAAACAGTCCAAGCAGGCAAGTGCTCTCTCCTGCAGAATATATACAAAAGACAGGTCAGTGCAAATATTTTACTACTGTAGAGAAACAATGTTACAGATGCCACACTTTACTGCTGTAGAGAAACAATGTTGCAGATGACACACTTTACTGCTGTAGAGAAACAATGTTACAGATGCCACACTTTACTGCTCTAGAGAAACAATGTTACAGATGACACACTTTACTGTTGTAGAGAAACAATGTTACAGATGCCACACTTTACTGCTGTAGAGAAACAATGTTACAGATGACACACTTTACTGCTGTAGAGAAACAAATGTTACAGATGCCACACTTTACTGCTGTAGAGAAACAATGTTACAGATGACACACTTTACTGCTGTTGACAAACAATGTTACAGATGCCACACTTTACTGTTGTAGACAAACAATGTTACAGATGCCACACTTTACTGCTGTAGAAAAACAATGTTACAGATGCCACACTTTACTGCTGTAGAGAAACAATGTTACAGATGCCACACTTTACTGCTGTAGAGAAACAATGTTACAGATGCCACACTTTACTGTTGTAGACAAACAATGTTACAGATGCCACACTTTACTGCTGTCGAGAAACAATGTTACAGATGCCACACTTTACTGCTGTAGAGAAACAATGTTACAGATGACACACTTTACTGCTGTAGAGAAACAATGTTACAGATGACACACTTTACTGCTGTAGAGAAACAATGTTACAGATGACACACTTTACTGCTGTAGAGAAACAATGTTACAGATGCCACACTTTACTGCTGTGGAGAAACAATGTTACAGATGCAACACTTTACTGCTGTAGAGAAACAATGTTACAGATGCCACACTTTACTGCTGTAGAGATACATATGAATGTATGATCTGTTCCTTGGGCATGAAAGAGTTAACTCATCTCTCATACGTTCTTACTTAGACTTTTTATCTCTCTCACACTCTGTTTCTGATTCAAACTCTTTTGTTATATATATATTGTCACCACCCCCCTGCCACTCCCCCCCCTCCTGAAAATCCATGATGCTCTACTCACTAACCGATAAACATGAGCCAAGTCTGAAACCAGGGGTGGTTAAAGTTGTGCGGTTTACTTGATGTGCCGTTGTCATCCTTGTAATAAAATCCCTCAGTTCTGAAACAATTCAGCAAACCATTTAAATGTTAACACACACATCATCGGCAACTGTTGTGTGACATTTTCAACATCTCAGTTGTAGCACAGATATCAAACAGAGTCTATATGCCATTCATCATAACTACATTTTAATGTACACAAATAACAAACACAAAATTACGAAAGAGCACCCACACATGTGGTCTGCATCTTCTTGTCACTTTTTTCATTGTTGTTCTGGTAATGTCAAAGAGCTGCAAAGACTGGACAGTTAGTTAGGGCCCCTTTTCTGCCGAGAACACGTTTTAAAAGAGCCAGATCAAGGTGCAGTGAATGTTTTAAGAATGAAGTACTAAAAGAATTGTTGACATTTACACAACTGTATGTTGTTTTTGCCTGTCCATCACAAGTGAGAAGGACCACTCTTTCTTTCATCTGTCATGAAAATACACTTGAATGTCTGTGAGCCTAGAGGGGACATGACTCCAAACGGGCCTGTAAGGATCTAGGTAAATGGGGAATGGGAAGGGGGGAGGGGGGTATTTGCCAGTGAGCTGTTCAGCTTTTTTTTTTTAATGACTTGCAAGTCGCTGCACTTCTTCCTTTAGAAGTTTGCCATGTAATCCTGTCTTGTGTGGCAGCCTCCCAGGTGTCAGTGTTTGTACTCAAGGCTTTCAGTGATGTCTTTAACCTGTCAGTGTTTATACTCAAGGCTTTCAGTGATGTCTTTAACCTGTCAGTGTTTATACTGAAGGCTTTCAGCAATGCCTTTAACCTGTCAGTGTTTATACTCAAGGCTTTCAGTGATGTCTTTAACCTGACAGTGTTTATACTCAAGGCTTTCAGTGATGCCTTTAACCTGTCAGTGTTTATACTGAAGGCTTTTAGCAATGCCTTTAACCTGTCAGTGTTTATACTGAAAGCTTTCAGTGATGTCTTTAACCTGTCAGTGTTTATACTGAAGGCTTTCAGTGATGCCTTTAACCTGTCAGTGTTTTTACTCATGGCTTTCAGTGATACCTTTAACTTGACAGTGTTTACAATGAAAGCTTTCAGTGATGCCTTTAACCTGACAGTGTTTACAATGAAAGCTTTCAGTGATGCCTTTAACCTGTCAGTGTTTATACTGAAGGCTTTCAGTGATGTCTTTAACCTGTCAGTGTTTATACTCAAGGCTTTCAGTGATGTCTTTAACCTGTCAGTGTTTATACTCAAGGCTTTCAGTGATGTCTTTAACCTGACAGTGTTTATACTAAAGGCTTTCAGTGATGCCTTTAACCTGGCAGTGTTTATACTGAAGGCTTTCAGTGATGTCTTTAACCTGACAGTGTTTATACTGAAGGCTTTCAGTGTCTTTAACCTGACAGTGTTTATACTGAAGGCTTTCAGTGATGCCTTTAACCTGACAGTGTTTATACTGAAGGCTTTCAGTGATGTCTTTAACCTGACAGTGTTTATACTAAAGGCTTTCAGTGATGCCCTTAACCTGTCAGTGTTTATACTAAAGGCTTTCAGTGATGCTCTTAACCTGTCAGTGTTTATACTGAAGGCTTTCAGTGATGCCTTTAACCTGTCAGTGTTTATACTGAAGGCTTTCAGTGATGCCTTTAACCTGTCAGTGTTTATACTGAAGGCTTTTAGTGATGTCTTTAACCTGTCAGTGTTTATCCTGAAGGCTTTCAGTGATGCTCTTAACCTGTCAGTGTTTATACTGAAGGCTTTCAGTGATGCTCTTAACCTGTCAGTGTTTATACTCAAGGCTTTCAGTGATGCTCTTAACCTGTCAGTGTTTATACTGAATGCTTTCAGTGATGCCTTTAACCTGTCAGTGTTTATACTCAAGGCTTTCAGTGATGCTCTTAACCTGTCAGTGTTTATAATGAAGGCTTTCAGTGATGCCTTTAACCTGTCCGTGTTTATACTGAAGGCTTTCAGTGATGCCTTTAACCTGTCAGTGTTTATACTGAAGGCTTTCAGTGATGCCTTTAACCTGTCAGTGTTTATACTGAAGGCTTTCAGTGATGCTCTTAACCTGTCAGTGTTTATACTCAAGGCTTTCAGTGATGTCTTTAACCTGCCAGTGTTTATACTCAAGGCTTTCAGTGATGCCCTTAACCTGTCAGTGTTTATACTGAAGGCTTTCAGTGATGCTCTTAACCTGTCAGTGTTTATAATGAAGGCTTTCAGTGATGCCTTTAACCTGTCCGTGTTTATACTGAAGGCTTTCAGTGATGCCTTTAACCTGTCAGTGTTTATACTGAAGGCTTTCAGTGATGCTCTTAACCTGTCAGTGTTTATACTCAAGGCTTTCAGTGATGTCTTTAACCTGCCAGTGTTTATACTTAAGGCTTTCAGTGATGCCCTTAACCTGTCAGTGTTTATACTGAAGGCTTTCAGTGATGCCCTCAACCTGTCCCTGAAGTACTTTCTCTGGGCAATATGAGAGCATGCATCTTCTTGTATCTCACCATACAAGATTATTTTTGGGATCGGATGCTCTAATAAGTAGACGAAGGACCTATTCATCAAATATATGACGTATCAGGATGGTATCGATGCTGAGAATGTCAGCCCTGTCCAATACGACAGTATTCAGGACCCTGTCTTGCCACTGAACTTTCAGTATTTTTCTCAAATAGACTGTATGGAAGTGGTTGAGTTTTTCTGCATGACGTCTGCATACACTCCATGTTTCACAAGCATACAGCAACACTGGAAGTGTTGGAGCACTGCAGCTCAGCACACCTTTACAATAACGGCATACAATATTTGGCTCTCCTCCGAACTTCTACCCTATATTATGGCGGCCAAGCAAATAGCCTAACAGGGCCTCAGTCATGTGTAAAATGCTGACTTTCTGCCAAGGAACAAATTGCGGCAAAACTAGGATCACTTGACAAATTCAAGAGATGCAACACTGCAGACGATAGTACCAGACGATAATAGCGACCACTGACAATTACAAGCGCTTCTACAGGCGATACTAGCAGACGATAATAGCGACCATTGACAATTTCGAGACACGCAACATTACAGACGATAATACCGACATGGCGGGGAGACCACGCGCTCCGGCGCAGATTTTTGTCATTGTTTTTCTCACACTTTTCGGCATGCGCAAAACGCGATTAAGCTCACCGCCGATAGCATCACCTGCTGCGCTACGTGCGGCGCGGATCTAAACTAGATGCCTGGGACTCACGAGCAAATAAATTGGAGGAAGTTGCAGGAGATGCGGTAGCTGCAGCTCGTGAGTCTTAGCCATCTAGTTTAGCCTCTTATGCGCCAAGTGTAGCGGCGTGGGGGATACCGTCGGTGATGCAGCATAGTCACAGAAAAAGGCCCACAGTTAACATATCGCTGAGACCCTGTTAGAGCATTTGTTTCTTTTTTCGGAGCGATCCTAGTTTTGCCGGGATTTGTTCTTTGGCAGAAAGTCCGCATTTTACACACGACTGATGCCCTGTTAGGCTATTTGCTTGGCCGCCATAATATCGGGTAGAAGTTCGGAGGAGAGACCAATATTTTCGCAAATCCCACACAGGAAGCTTATTCTGGACACTTTTAACAGATTCATCTGCCCGTAATCTTCTTTTTTTTTCTGCTTTAATGACGCTAATAACACAGCCGATAGTTCTGACTGGTATAATGACGAATACTGACTTTACTGTATACGGGCTCAGTACTAGTTCAGTACCTTCATCCAATAACAAAAGCATAGACCTGGGAAGGAAACTTAAAAAACTTAAACGATTCTGCTAAGGGGAACTTCCGGGAAAGATCCAGTCCACGACAGGTAGTCAGACAAAAACCAGACTAAACAACAAAGACATCATCTAGGACAGTGAACCGGCGGACAGCGACATGATACCTACACACACTGGAGCTGTGCTTTCTTGGTGATTGTGTTGATACTGCCGGTAACCAACATTCCCAGCATTAACAACATCTGTCTGCACGTCAACGCCATTTTGACTCAACATGATCATGTGACCACCACAGGTGGTCATGTGACACTGACAGCTTTGAAAGCTACGTCATCATTATGTTTTCTTCTAGCTCTTCTCTTAAACAAGTTGCAAGCAATACCTTGCAAAGCTGACGTGGTGTGATCAGTTCTACAACTGTTCAACTGCTCGTCAATTTCATCCATCACCATCTTTGTTGCCACTTGAAATCTCTTGGATCACAGGCACAGGAGAGTGATTGAGAGAGACTGAGTGAGACAGACAGACAGACAGACAGACAGACAGACAGATAGACAGATAGACAGATAGACAGATAGACAGACAGACAGACAGACAGATAGATAGATAGATAGATAGATAGATAGATAGATAGATAGATAGATAGATAGATAGATAGATAGATAGATAGATAGATAGATAGATAGATAGATAGATAGATAGATAGATAGATAGATAGATAGATAGATAGATAGATAGATAGATAGATAGATAGATAGATAGATAGATAGATAGATAGATAGATAGATAGATAGATAGATAGATAGATAGATAGATAGATAGATAGATAGATAGATAGATAGATAGATAGATAGATAGATAGATAGATAGATAGATAGATAGATAGATAGATAGATAGATAGATAGATAGATAGATAGATAGATAGATAGATAGATAGATAGATAGATAGATAGATAGATAGATAGATAGATAGATAGATAGATAGATAGATAGATAGATAGATAGAGATAGATAGATAGATAGATAGATAGATAGATAGATAGATAGATAGATAGATAGATAGATAGATAGATAGATAGATAGATAGATAGATAGATAGATAGATAGATAGATAGATAGATAGATTAGACAGACAGACAAACAGACAGACAGGCGGACAGTCAGACAGACAGACAGACAGACAGACGGACGGACAGACACCTTTCCTATGGAGTAGTAAACAAGACACCCCTTTAGAAGTTTGGGCAACACATGGCTCTTCAGTACTACCCGGGCCAGACTTTGTGCTGTGGAGAGAAGAAACTTTATCCTTGATCTTACTGTCGTCTGGAAAGACGGGAAAATGCCGCACAAACAATCTTTGTGTTTTAATGTGATAGACGTGTTTGACTTGACTCGTTTTTTTTCATCGTTCCATCAACGTTTCATTCAACATTTCAAAATGACTCAACATCTTTCTAACATGACATCTTTTTATGTGTCACTGACATACCAGATATTCTTCTGCCTATTTCCAGAGCCCAGAACCAGTGTTGTAATACAGACAAACAGGTAAATACGTAGCTAGACATATAGGCAGACTGACAGAGGGACGAGCAGAAAGACCGATGTACTGACAGTCAGACAAAAAAAAAGATAAACAGGTAGGCAGACAAAACAGGGTAAGGCGCATGCACTGACATGCACACAAACACGACGGACAAGCGCATAGATACACATTAGATAGACAGATCAACCGATTTATAGAGTAAAACTGTGGCATGCAGACGGATAGACAGACATAAACGCTTACATAAACAGACAAACCATTTGGCAGACAACTCTAATCAAATGTGAAGCAGACTATAACAAATGATACATAAAATTAACAAGTGGATTGTATTACTAACACTGTAATCAAAAATAACACAATTTACGACACTGTGTTCAGCACACGACAATTGTATAATCCCCCCCTCCCCCAATCATTTACTGTCTGAAAGTATAAGCACCCAAGGACAGGTCAGCATGATAGCTTAAGGCCAGTCAGCATGAGACCTTCAGACAGGTCAACATGATATCTTCAGACAGGTCAACATGATATCTTCAGACAGGTCAACATGATATCTTCAGACAGGTCAACATGATATCTTCAGACAGGTCAACATGATATCTTCAGACAGGTCAACATGATATCTTCAGACAGGTCAACATGATATCTTCAGACAGGTCCGCATGATACCTACAGACAGGTCAGCATGATACCTACAGACAGGTCAGCATGATACCTACAGACAGGTCAGCATGATACCTACAGACAGGTCAGCATGATACCTACAGACAGGTCAGCATGATACCTACAGACAGGTCAGCATGATACCTACAGACAGGTCAACATGATACCTACAGACAGGTCAGCATGATACATACAGACAGGTCAGCATGATACCTACAGACAGGTCAGCATGATACCTACAGACAGTCAGCATGATACCTACAGACAGGTCAGCATGAGACCTACAGACAGGTCAGCATGATACCTACAGACAGGTCAGCATGATACCTACAGACAGGTCAGCATGAGACCTACAGACAGGTCAGCATGATACCTACAGACAGGTCAGCATGATACCTACAGACAGGTCAGCATGATACCTACAGACAGGTCCGCATGATACCTACAGACAGGTCAGCATGAGACCTACAGACAGGTCAGCATGATACCTACAGACAGGTCAGCATGATACCTACAGACAGGTCAGCATGATACCTTCAGACAGGTCAGCATGATACATACAGACAGGTCAGCATGATACCTTCAGATAGGTCAGCATGATACCTACAGACTGGTCAGTTTCTAACACACTATACTATTGGACTTTCCCGGAAACTCACCACATCTCTGATTCCACGAGATAGGGTGAATTAAAAGAAAAGAGCCCGTGATTTATGCACAAATACAGTTCATATACAATTACTGTACACATCATCATCATCATGTAGCATGTCTTTTGCAGAACGTCGCTCTCATCACGGTCTGCCTGAAGGAAACTCGGTCTCTCGCCAGTTCTCCCACCTCGTGTACCTTCAAACTCAAGGAGTCACTTATATCCTGTGCCCATCTTCATGTCGGTCAGCCCCTGCCCCTCCTTCCTGGTACCATGCCTTCTGTTATAATTTTTTCAAATCCATCGTGGCGCTTGATATGACCAAATTGGAGATAAATAAACAGGTATCAATAATAAATAACATCACCGAACATAGTCATCACGAAATAAATATAATATGTGTCGTCTTTCACTTTCATTTTCTGTTGCGTTGTCTGTCTCTGCCTCCCTGTCTCTCTTAATCTGTCTATATGGCAGCCTCTCTCTCTCCCTCTGTCTTCCTCTTTCTCTCTCTCTCTCTCTCTCTCTCTCTCTCTCTCTCTCTCTCTCTCTTTCTCTCTCCCTCTCTACTACTGTAGAGCGGCACAACTGCTTCCATTCTGCTAGAAGCAAACACAAATCAGTCACGTAATCGATATCCCAACAAACACTCCAAAGATATTGCAACATTTGAAATCAGACAACGTTTTCCTACAGCTTAATGTTGCATACATGTATCAGAAGCAATCAAGAGCCTATTTGATTGTCGTGATGTCATGGCTTTCAGATGATGAGATGGGCTTTGGTAGCTTCTTGTTCTAACACTTTCAAATAAATACAACATTTTATTATTTTTAGCTTTCTATTTTTTTTTTAGATGAGGACAAACACACACACACACACACACACACACACACACACACACACACACACACACACACACACACACACACAATATGAGGGCCCACAAACGGAGAGAGAGAAATGAGGAAATGAGCTCCCACCCTCCGAAGAAGTCGCGAAGAGGTTTGTGAGAAACTCAGTGAACGTCCCTGAGCCAGCGTCAGTAAATGAATAGTTGTAGTAGACACACACGGCTGACCTATTGAACTAGCAGCCAGTACAGATGAAGACACCAGGAATGATGTAGGGGCTGACCTGTTGAACTAGCAGCCAGTACAGATGAAGACACCAGGAATGATGTAGGGGCTGACCTATTGAACTAGCAGCCGATACAGATGAAGACACCAGGAATGATGTGGGAGCTGACCTGTTGAACTAGCCGCCACTACAGATGAAGACACCAGGAACGATGTGGTGGCTGTATACGAACAAACACCCGAGTGGCACTGTTTCCAGGTCATGGCGTCTCATGTTCTCCTATTATGTTCTGCTGGCACCCGCTCAGCAATCTCCGTCGTGACTTAGATCCGTGATCAACAGCTGATGGCACCATCGATAACTAGACCAAGTACTTTCTGGTGCACAACCGTTCAACGGCTGATCGCACCATCGATAACTAGACCATCTTCTTTCTGGTGCACAACTGTCCAACGGCTGATGGCACCATCGATAACTAGACTATGTACTTTCTGGTGCACAACTGTCCAACAGTTCTAATTTCTTGTGGTGGTTTTTAGTCATCGATTTCTTGCCACCCCCTCCTTGTTGATAAAGAAACAACACGGTGAGCACAAGCGATTCTGAGACGACTAATCTATGTTTGCTTGGTAGTTCCACTTCTCTTTCATTTGACCTTTAAAGTAAGTATGACTACCAAGTCCTTGGTTCCCTCTCTCCCCATCAGATTGATCCGCCACACCCATCAATTACCTCCATCACATACCCATTTCTGTTTCAAACAGTCGTTGTTGTTATACAGTTTCCATCACATACCCATCTCTGTTTTAAACAGACGTTGTTGTTTACAGTTTCCGGGGATCATATGGTGCAGTTTCTCAACCCGCCTCTATTGTTGTCAAGGTTTCCAGCGGGTGTCCCCACCGACAGTCTAACAGTAACATGTCTACACCCGTGCTTGGTCTTCTCCTTACTGGAGTCTAACATCTCTATTATTTCTAGCACAAAAATTTGCAACAGAGCCAGATTCGCCCCTCCCTTAAAAATAACTTTCGCTCCCAGGTCGATCCAGGCCTAAACAGGTACAGGAAAAGTCCTGGGAAGTCAAGGCGGCTAGTGCGATGCTGACTACTTCCCCCCAATGAGTGCCGATTGGTCTTTAAAATATAAGTCCAGCAAATGTAGCTCTGGAGACGTAGGTAGTATACTTTTACACAAACGTGTGTTTCTACTTGTTGCACTGATAGCCGACAAATGAGACAGTGGAAGAACTTGCTACGATAAGAGATAATAGGTGATTTACATCATAGCACACCGGGCATATCCCTAGGTGCTACGTTACACCGCTCTTTACATTTGTCTTTGATGCCGTCTCCATGGTATCTTCAGATGGTGCCATTCATGACTTTCCTTTTTTCAACCAGTCTGTTCAGATCATCATGCAGCGGATGCCTTCCATCATTAGTAACTCACATACAGGCATCCCTAGCTTGCACCAATAACAGTTTAGACTTTACCCATGTCGCCCAAGCAAATACCTCGTTGTTCTAATTGGGGTATCTTGTGTGCAACCCAAGACGATTTTTATTCCCTTATTTTGAATCCGTTCAAGTTTTAAACAATGTGAAGTACATAGGGTTAATATTCCTAGACCTTTAGTATCAGTTCAATGGGAGTCGTCACCATCGTCTTCAGTGCCGCTAGGCCACGCTTGCATTTAGTCACAGTCTGTTCCACGTGATGTGAAGAATATACTGCGATCAAACGTCAAACCTAAGTATTTCTATCATGGAATCAAGGCCGAAGGGGTGCGATATCAATAGTACCGAGCCAAAGGGTGAACAACTCATGGTTTCTGGATACTAAAAGAAAAAAAAAAAGGATTTCTTCTTTCAATATTTTAACGCTTCATGGATATGATGGGCAAGTCCTCCTTTCCACTGCTGTTATTCAAAGATCACCAAAAAACACTGGCCTTCTCTGGGTTTACCCTTGACCCTGTCTGTTCACACACCACTCCGTATCTCATGTAAAGCACCTTGCAAGTCTCTGGTCACGTGGCGCCTGTCTGACCCGCTTCGACACATGAGGACATCATCTGCAAATGTCAAAGTTCGTTCTGGTCCAGTGGGCTGTACTTTTGCCAGACTTGCTCTTATATGTTGAACAAGACAGATGACGATTTTTAAGAAATATATTGTTAGACGATATTTAACTCTCTTATTTATTATTCCACAACAAAGATAAAATGATAATGAGGAAAAAATATGGGGGAGGGTGGCACACATACAACCATGATGATGAGGGCAATAAATAAATTACAAACCTCAACAATACTGTATGAGAGACAGCGATAATATGTATATATATATATCTTTTCTTCTCTATCTCAAACTTTCTCTTTCTTTCTATCTACCCCCACACTCACTAAACCCACACACACTACACACATTCACTAGCCAATGAATGCCCAGCTAGCAAACACTACACATGTTCACCAGCCAATACACGCCCAGCTAACACTACACACATAGATATATTCACCAGCCAATGAATGCCCAGCTAACACTAAACACATAGATATATTCACCAGCCAATGAATGCCCAGCTAGCAAACACTACACATGTTCACCAGCCAATACACGCCCAGCTAACAAACACTACACACATAGATAAATTCACCAGCCAATGAACGCCCAGCTAGCAAACACTACAGGTTTACTAGCCAATACACGCTCGGCTAACACTACACACGTAGATATATTCACCAGCCAATGAATGCCCAGCTAGCAAACACTACACAGGTTCACCAGCCAATACACGCCCAGCTAACACTACACACGTAGATATATTCAACTCCAATGAACGCCCAGCTAGCAAACACTACACACATACATACAGTCACCAACTACCTGACACTACATATAGCAAAATGGCAAGTCCAGATTCGCTCAACCACAGACAATGTGGTATCACAAAACGTTATGTCAGTTATTTTTGCAGTCTCGTGTGTGGAAGGATGTGTGGAGGGAGGGGGTATTTTAACTTCGTTGACAGACTCCCAGCTGTCCTAGGACAGCAGTAGACTAGCATTGTCTGGTGTGGCCCAACCCTCTCCCTTCATCCTGAGAAGTGTGCCGTCCACATCTGCAGTGTCTGGTCGTGAAGGCTGCAGCCAGGCCTCACACGGCGGTCAGCTCATCATTGTCCTCAACAGGCTTGGTGACTACCACAATGTCCTTCTGTCCTAGAACCTACGGGACAAAAAAAAAAAGGAAAACACTCTAGAAATCTGCAAGTTAGGAGTTCATGAAATATTCTAAAACTTACAGAATTGCTGAGCTACAGTCACTGACTACCTTTGAAGTGAAGAGATATTTCTAATGAGCTCTCTCACCTTCAGTTGCTAGTGGTGTGTAGGACTGTTCCCATTGACACTGATGATAGCTGTCCCTACAAGAACAATCGTGACAGTCGACCTGCCTTACGCCAAACTTATCAGTCGGGAGATTAGCCACCTATGTACCGGCCCGAACAATCCTGTCCCCAGTGACGTGTATCGACCCTCCCTGTTATTATCTTCACAAACAACTAAGACACTTAGAGCCAGAAGACCTGCATGGCATGGTCCGACATGTGACGCGTTGGGCAGTACGTCCACTGACCTTATCTACTCGTAGGACTCCAGTCAAGTGGACCACGAGTAGGACAGTGATGGGCCTGGACTCATGTGTTATTTGTCTTCTCGGCGTCAGCAGGTTCCTTTTCCACAGCCAAACAAAGTTGCCTGTGGCTCCAGAGAAAGTCACAGTTGAAACAGCTGGATCGGTGCAAGTCTCTGATTGGCTGCTTGTGGCGCGAGAGAAAGTCCCAAATTAAACAGCCGGACCGGTGCAAGTCTCTGATTGGCTGCTTGTGGCAAGTGAGAGAAAGTCACAGTTGAAACAGCTGGTCGGGTGCAAGTCTCTAGTTGGTTGCTTGTGGCACGAGAGAAAGCCCGGCACTGAGATTAAACTATGCACAAGCGGATGTTAGGATGTGACTCGGATCCATCTCAGAACAGACGGGGTGGCTTGCACTACGACAGGGCTGCGCATGTGTCCTATAGATTTTCTCAACCAGTTCCCAGTCAACGTTCAGGGCTGGGCATGTTTCCTATAGATTCTCCCAACCAGTTCCCAGTCAACGTTCGGGAGCATGCAGACACAGTGTATTGCATGATGAAAAATGCAGCTGACACAGTATAGTCCACTTTTACTGCGAAGATAGCACTTTATTTATTGTTTATCTAATGTCAAAAAATGGAATCAGACACATCATCATCATGTGCTGCAACACCTGAAGGTCTGCAACAACATCTGTCCATTAATCTGCTGACAAGTTGTCCTGTCTTGAATAAAGTCAGTTCACAGAGTTCTCTTTGCCTTTCTCCATCCAGTCTTTCAATTCTGCAATAGTTACATCTTACATATGTATTTTTGTTTTTAAATCTTCCATTAGTTGATTTAATAATTTTGTTGTTGTTGGTTGCATGTTCACAAGTTATCCACGATTCACTTCCATACAATAAAATTGGTTACATGTAACAAGCATGGATTTCTTTTACAACTTTCCAATACTAAGATTTATTGCTTATGATGTTGTTCATTTTGACACAGTAGATTGTCCGCATTCGGTGTGCAGATGTTTACTTCTGTCCAAACCCACCAGTGTCTGAACATGCAGGAAATAAATGCCACGCCTCGACTCATAAAACAGAAAGCGGACACTTTCTCCAATATGGAGGACAACTGGCGATGACCCGGTAGCCTCTCCTTTAACGATATGACCTAGATTTAAGAAATCCGATTAGCTCACACTTCGCAGCCCTGTCAAATATGGGATTAGAGGCACTGTTGACTTCCTCCTCTCGCTGACAATTATGTGGCATCGATCTGTTGTGGCATCGATTACTGCCGTATGTTGGCTCAACATGTACCGGGGGCATCTCCAGCAATGTGCCGTTGTGCCCTTGCGTCGCCACTGAGTGGCGTCTTTGACAGCCCTTGTGATAAATCAGTAGTTGCCACGCACTGGCTGTTTCCGTTTCCACCACTCTCGCTAGTCGTCACACAAGCGGATCGCATTTTTACTCAGACGGAGGTCAGTTCTAACTCAGACGGAGGTCAGTTATTACTCAGACGGAGGTCAGTTCTTACTCAGACGGAGGTCAGTTATTACTCAGACGGAGGTCAGTTCTTACTCAGACGGAGGTCAGTTCTTACTCAGACGGAGATCAGTTGTAACTCAGACGGAGGTCAGTTCTTACTCAGACGGAGGTCAGTTATTACTCAGACGGAGGTCAGTTCTTACTCAGACGTAGGTCAGTTATTACTCAGACGGAGGTCAGTTCTTACTCAGACGGAGGTCAGTTATTACTCAGACGGAGGTCAGTTCTTACTCAGACGGAGGTCAGTTCTTACTCAGACGGAGATCAGTTGTAACTCAGACGGAGGTCAGTTCTTACTCAGACGGAGGTCAGTTCTTACTCAGACGGAGATCAGTTATTACTCAGACGGAGGTCAGTTCTTACTGAGACGGAGGTCAGTTCTTACTGAGACGGAGGTCAGTTCTTACTGAGACGGAGGTCAGCTCTTACTGAGACGGAGGTCAGTTCTTAATGAGACTGGGTGCTGCAGAACTAGTGTGAGCTATTCTTGCAGCGCCCCCAGGGGACAGTGACGTCACATAGTAACTGCGCACTAGATAATATGTCTGACTAACAACATTATTTTAATGCCCCCTGAACATATACCATTAACTGAATAATTGTACACATTAAATGACAGACAAACCTTGACATAGAACTATTTGTTGTATACTAAATGACAGACAAACCTTGACATAGAACTATTTGTTGTACACACTAAATGACAGACAAACCTTGACATAGAACTATTTGTTGTATACTAAATGACAGACAAACCTTGACATAGAACATCCCGTCCCTCTGTTTACTCATCTCCTCTTTGGCCACCCTGGCGATCCTGCAGCTCAAGACGATAGCGGTCATGCACACGATGATCTCAGTTCCCGCCGCCGCCAGCGACACGTAGATCAGCATATCCTGGGGGGCACATACAGGCTGGAGATTCTCATGTGTACAGGCGTAAAAGACACATCTAATCTTCACACGTGTACAGGCGTAAAAGACACATCTAATCTTCACATGTGTACAGGGGTAAAAGACACATCTAATCTTCACATGTGTACAGGGGTAAAAGACACATCTAATCTTCACATGTGTACAGGGGTAAAAGACATCTAATCTTCACATGTGTACAGGGGTAAAAGACATCTAATCCTCACATGTGAACAGGGGTAAAAGACATCTAATCTTCACATGTGTACAGGCGTAAAAGACACATCTAATCTTCACATGTGTACAGGGGTAAGACAAACATCTAAAACACACATGTGTACAGGGGTAAGACAGACATCTAAAATACACTTGTGTACAGGGGTAAGACAAACATCTAAAACACACATGTGTACAGGGGTAAGACAAATATCTAAAACACACATGTGTACAGGGGTAAGACAAACATCTAAAATACACTTGTGTACAGGGTAAGACAGACATCTAAAATACACATGTGTACAGGATTGAGACAGACATCTAAAATACACATTTTTACAGGGGTAAGACTGACATCTAAAATACACATTTTTACAGGGGTTAAACAGACATATAAAATACACATGTGTACAGGGGTAAGACAGACATCTAAAATACACATGTGTACAGGGGTAAGACAGACATTTACAATAACATGTGTACAGGGGTAAGACAGACATCTTAAATACACATTTGTACAGGGGTAAGACAGACATCTAAAATACACATGTGTACAGGATTGAGACAGACATCTAAAATACATATGTGTACAATGGTAAGACAGACATCTAAAATACATGTGTGTACAGGGGTAAGACAGACATCTACAATACACATGTGTACAGGCGTAAGACAGACATCTAAAATACACATAATGACAGGGTTAAGACAGACATCTAACATACACATGTGTACAGGGGTAAGACAGATATCTAAAATACACATAATAACAGGGTTAAGACAGACATCTAAAATACACATGTGTATAGGGGTAAGACAGACATCTAAAACCACATAATAACAGGGTTAAGACAGATATCTAAAATACACATAATAACAGGGTTAAGACAGATATCTAAAATACACATGTGTACAGGGGTAAGACAGACATCTAAAATACACATGTGTACACGGGTAAGACAGATATCTAAAATACACATGTGTGCAATTGTTAGGGCTCGTGTGTTGTGTGCGATATTTCTGATGTGTCTATTGTTTAGTTTGCTGTACAGAAGTGCTCCGAGTAAATTTGTCTTTGTGTTTTAATGTACTTGTGTTTTAATGTACTTGTGTTTTAATGTACTTGTGTTTTAATGTACTTGTGTTTTAATGTACTTGTGTTTTAATGTACTTGTGTTTTAATGTACATGTGTTTTTATGTACTTGTGTTTTTATGTACTTGTGTTTTTATGTACTTGTGTTTTTATGTACTTGTGTTTTAATGTACATGTGTTTTAATGTACTTGTGTTTTAATATACTCTGTACATGTTTTCTCTACGTACATATGTTTGTGTGTTCTATACTTGTGTCTGCGTCTGTGGCTTAGGCGTTGCAAATGCGCCTCGTAATGCAGGGCTAATGGGTTTGATCCCAGCTGATGGCCTTCAGCCTTGCGTTGGTTACGCTAGTGGTATTGAGAAGCTGACTGTCCAGAAAACAATGGCAAACTACTGGACGCAAATTTGCTTGGAAAAATCACAACAGCCAAAAAATGATGGGGTTGGTTCTCTGATGTCCTGTAGAGGGACGCAATTAACTTGTAACTATACTTGTGTGTTCTTGTAACTATACTTGTGTGTTCTTGTAACTATACTTGAGTGTTCTTGTACTTTATGTGCATTCTCTGAACTGTTTACAGTTTGCGTGCCCTAAATTAACGTTATCTGGTGCCTGTACCAAGTATGGGTACAAATGGTCCAATACAATGAGTACAAACATTTTAGTATGCAAGGTACATATATTTCTGTGTAGGTCATTTAAAAGAAAGTAAAACAGACACCAGTCACTGTTAACTGTGATATTATATTTTACAAAGATACTAAAACTGTGACAAGTTGTGATAGAGAGACATCAAAACTGTGACAAGTTGTGATAGAGAGACATCAAAACTGTGACAAGTTGTGGTAGAGAGACATCAAAACTGTGACAAGTTGTGGTAGAGAGACATCAAAACTGTGACAAGTTGTGGTAGAGAGACATCAAAACTGTGACAAGTTGTGATAGAGAGACATCAAAACTGTGACAAGTTGTGATAGAGAGACATCAAAACTGTGACAAGTTGTGGTAGAGAGACATCAAAACTGTGACAAGGTGTGATAGAGAGACATCAAAACTGTGATAAGTTGTGGTAGAGAGACATCAAAACTGTGATAATCTGTTGTAGTGAAACACCAAAACTGTGACAAGTTGTGGTAGAGAGACATCAAAACTGTGACAAGTTGTGGTAGAGAGACATCAAAACTGTGACAAGTTGTGGCAGAGAGACATCAAAACTGTGACAAGTTGTGGCAGAGAGACATCAAAACTGTGACAATCTGTTGTAGTGAGACACAAAAACTGTGACAGTCTGTTGCAGAGAGACATCAAAACTGTGACAATCTGTTGTAGAGAGACACTAAAACTGTGACAATCAGTTGTAGGCAGATGTGACAATCTGTTGTAGACAGATACAAAAACTGTGACAGTCGGTTGTATAAGGAGACCAACCTTCTTCTCCTTCTGGAAGGTGTGTCCGTCAGTTGTATGGTTGACCAGTCCAACCCTCAACAGCTGTATGCTGACCACCGCCACCACCATAGACACCAGCGAGAAGGCGGTGAAACACATAATCTGTGGATCAAAGGCACAACTGTGGTTGACGCAACTGTTGCTCCCACAACTGCCGCATCAACTAGGCACAACTCTGGTTGACGCAACTGTTGCTCCCACAACTGCCGCATCAACTAGGCACAACTGTGGTTGACGCAACTCTTGCCCCCACAACTGCCGCATCAACTAGGCACAACTCTTGTTGACGCAACTCTTGCCCCCACAGCTGCCGCATTAACTGTGCTAATGAGTCACAATCGACGTATTGCTACAGTTTGTATAGACTAAATGTTGATATGTTGCTATGATGATTATTTCCCCTGAGAAGAATAATTAGCTCAGTTCAGTGTCCCGGACAGACTTCCGTCGAAGAGTGGCTAATTTACCTGCTACAGAATGTTGGCAGGATGTGACATCTGGAACCTAGATTCTTTTATCTAGGGATGATTGCTCAATCTCTGCAATCATTTAACACGATTGTGTGACCAGGTTTTGTGTGGGAGTGTCGTACAGAACAGCTTATTGTAGTTAGTTAATAGACTTATCATCTTCACTGCACAACGGATCCCATCTTTAGTATCCCCCTCTGTGTGGGAAGTCACGACACCAGTTCTGTTTTGGTTTACTATTCGTCTTTGGCTACATGTATAGTGTTTATGTCTGGCAACAGCCCTTCTGACCTGAAGTTCTTATAGTCTTGTCAATGTGGCCGATTCATCCTTCCTCCTGAATCATCGTCCCGCCTCCTTAAGAGCATTGAAAACATCAGCTCGGTTGTTCCTGTACCCACCGTCGCCCTTCCAGCAAGCCAATCAGCTCGTTCAGCGCCTCTAACACCAGGCACAAATATGAGACTGATTTCTGTCTGTGGAAGTCTTCTTATATAACTTGGAGCCCACTTTCTCGTGACGTCTCCACAAGACTGATGCCCATTTCAGCAACGAATGCACACAAATACGTCTAGTTCTTGCTGCTTTTTACATTGAGAGACATTTGTTTCATCTCAGTTTCTAGACATCTTTGTGTATGACACTTCGCTATTGTCCAGTCCATCGAGGTTTCAAGCTTCCTGGAGACAAAGACAATAGCCGTAGCTAGAATTAACTTAAGAATGGGCAATCCAAAGTGATCGTTGGTCTGTAGGTTTTTATATCTAGGTTAAGGTGTAACAAGGATATTCTCGTGAGATCTACAAGCGCAGAGATATTCTCGTGAGATCTACAAGCGCAGAGATACTCTCGTGAGATCTACAAGCGCAGAGATATTCTCGTGAGATCTACAAGCGCAGAGATATTCTCGTGAGATCTACAAGCGCAGAGATATTCTCGTGAGATCTACAAGCGCAGAAATATTATCGGCCTGACAGGAAACAGACTGGCACAAACACGGGGATACAGAGTGCCGTCAATCCTAGAACCAGGCATTTAACAGGACCTCACTGTACTTCCTGTTATGTGACACTGCACTGCTATGTCAGCGCTACAATGCTCCGTCATGTGACACTGTTATGTCATGTCATACTGTACTGTTCTGTTATACAATATTGTACAGTTCCGTCGTGTGACAGGGTACTATAGCTGGTGCTATTTCAGCACTTGACACCATACATCACACATGGACACAACACCAGACACCACACATCACGCATGGACACAACACCAGACACCACACATCACACATGGACACAACACCAGACACCACACATCACGCATGGACACAACACCAGACACCACACATCACACATGGACACAACACCAGACACCACACATCACTCATGGACACAACACCAGACACCACACATCACGCATGGACACAACACCAGACACCACACATCACGCATGGACACAACACCAGACACCACACATCACACATGGACACAACACCAGACACCACACATCACGCATGGACACAACACCAGACACCACACATCACGCATGGACACAACACCAGACACCACACATCACGCATGACACAACACCAGACACCACACATCACACTGGACACAAACACCAGACACCACACATCACACATGGACACAACACCAGACACCACACATCACGCATGGACACAACACCAGACACCACACATCACGCATGGACACAACACCAGACACCACACATCACACATGGACACAACACCAGACACCACACATCACGCATAAACACAACACCAGACACCACACATCACGCATGGACACAACACCAGACACCACACATCACGCATGGACACAACACCAGAAACCACACATCACGCATGGACACAACACCAGACACCACACATCACGCATGGACACAACACCAGACACCACACATCACGCATGGACACAACACCAGACACCACACATCACGCATGGACACAACACCAGACACGACACATCACGCATGGACACAAGACCAGACACCACACATCACACATGGACACAACACCAGACACCACAAATTACGCATGACACAACACCGGACACCACACCTAGACCCAGTACAACACACTAGGGAAAGACAAGACACAACACACCACACATAGACACTATCTAACACATGAGACCCAGTTGCCATACAAATAGACAATAGAACACATCATACAAGTCACCAGCAACACGCCATCAAAGCCACGAGCAACACGCCATACAAGTCACCATACAACAAATCAGAGACAAGCAGACAACCTGGCCACGGTGACCGACCGGTCACTGTAGCGCCACCTACCACGTAGGACGACTTTTTCCTGGCACAGAAAATTCCCAGCATTCCAGCGATGAAAAACTGTGGACAGTTCAGAACTTGGTTTAAATAAACTTTACGTGACACACACCGTTCTCATTCAAACATGCATTGGCAAGAACTATTGTAATACACATAACTTAAATGATACGGACCTCTGGGGCTGGGTGAGCACTTATTTCTTTATCGAGTTGCTGTTGTTATTTGGGGGCGGCAGTGCGGACTGTTTTTTAACATGTACAAACGAGGGTCCAGGGGGATTCTTACAGCAGACCTTTCATCCGTGGATGACTCATAATTAGGATCAGGAGGGTGTTTTCTGATCTGTTCTTCCTTCTTTTCCTTCTATAAAAGCCTATCACTACTCATGAATGTATACTTCCTGCTCGGAACCACCCGGCGAGTGCCGGCCAGTGGTTTTCTGTGAGGCGTCATCGATGAAGTACACTCGGCAAACACTGGCAGAACTTGGGTGTCCTGGGGCAAACACTTGGCAGTACTTGGGTATCTTGGGGCAAACACTGGCAGTACTTGGGTTTCTTGGGGCAAATACTGTCAGTACTTGGGTGTCCTGGGGCAAACACTGTCAGTACTTGGGTCTCCTGGGGCAAACACTGGCAGTACTTGGGTGTCCTGGGGCAAACACTGGCAGTACTTGGGTCTCATGGGGCAAACACTGGCAGTACTTGGGTGTCCTGGGGCAAACACTGGCAGTACTTGGGTCTCCTGGGGAAAACACTGGCAGTATTTTGGTTTCGTAGTTTACCTGCACGTGTAATCCACACAAGTCAGAAACTGACTGGTAAAGCAATACTGAGGTTACACAATATTTAGACCCCGCCTCCCACACACTTCCGGCAAATAATTGACACCGTTTTAGGACAGGGGTCTATCCTGATTTCTGAAGACCTGCCAACTTGCTGGATGATGTAGTCAACATCTGACTCAAAAGAACACTTCCTCATAACTATTTCCTGCTGGGGGTATATGAACATTTGGAGATCCGCCTCAGGAAGATTTGAATCTATGACAACCGGTCCTGCAGGCAGGCGGGCTAGCTGCTGGGGTGGTATGGCACCCTCTGACAACTGAGGCTGTGTGTAGAAAAAACAGCATAACTTGTTCTTCTCTCTGCTCGCTGATTTACTTTTCGTTCGCTTTTATATCTTTTCCTGAAATTCTCTCTTCTCTACTTGCCAGACGAGAGACCAGATGCAAGAACTTTAGATCCGACACACAAGTTAGGATTATGTCGGCTTGACAGCTGATCGGCCATTCACTGGACGCCATGGCGCCACCCTGGCAACCAGGTTAGGACTAATTGGTTGCCCCAATCTGTGACCCTTTTACCCACACCTGGCCTTGTCGCTGGGGACAGGGGACTGATTCATCTGGCGGAAAAGATTACTGTCTGGCCGGACTTGCAGTCATCAATTATCGGCTTGTTGCCTTCATCTGCAGATTGTCCTCTTCGGATAACATCAATCAGTCAGCGGCACGTGCACTACTGTTTGTTGGAGTTGTCTCAGTTGCTCTCTCTCTCTCTCTCTCTCTCTCTCTCTCTCTCTCTCTCTCTCTCTCTCTCTCTCTCTCTCTCTCTCTCTCTCTCTCTCTCTCTCTCTCTCTCTCTCCCTCATCATTACTGTAATCACTTTAACACCAGTGTTTCTCATTCTGCCCGATATCTCTCTCATGCCCTGTACCCGACTTCGTGCTGATCGAGCCCTGACCCCCTGACCTGGTAGCCTGCCCTTCATGACCTTTCCTTGCTAGCTTTTCTGCGACAGAACAAATAACTGATGAACTTGTTGAATGACAGGGGTCATCTGTTTCCACTCGACTGCTCCAGTGAGCGGATGATGACTTCACTCACGGAACATGCCCAGTCTAATCTACTTAATGTCGTCATGGCAACAGTTGTGTCGCACTTTGAACAGATTTCATTGGCCACTGGCTTCTTTCGGGAAGATAGCACTCCTGACCTTTAATGTGGTAGTTCTAGTTCAAGTCTTTGTCAGGCATCCGTTGAATGTGCTGCGGGAAAACATGACCCTAGATCCCGTCAATCCAAGAGATCGTAACCACCAAGACTAAACAGCGCTGAAGCTCGACGTCTTTATCCTTTGACAGCAGAGGAAACATTGAAACAGATCTTAGGCTACAGCTACATCACAGCAACTAGAAGAAACAACAAAAGAAAAGAAGAATAGACGGACAATTTGCAGCTTGCTATGGAAACAAAGGACAACTAAACAAGATGGTGGCGCGTGTTGGTAGGCCAGTAAACACCAGACGTTTAGA